GAGAGAGAGAGAGAGAGAGAGAGAGAGAGAGAGAGAGAGAGAGTGAGTGAGAGAGAAGGGGATAGAGAGAGCGAGAGAAAGGGAGGGAGAGAGTGAGAGAGAAGGGGATGGGGAGAGAGAGAGAAGGGCAAGAGAGAGACAGAGAAGGGGAAGAGAGAGAGGAGAAGGGAAAGAGAGAGAAGGAGGGAGAGAGAGAGGAGGGGGGGAGAGAGAGAGAAGAGGGGGAGAGAGAGAGAAGAGGGGGAGAGAGAGAGAAGAGGGGGAGAGAGAGAGAAGAGGGGGAGAGAGAGAGAAGAGGGGGAGAGAGAGAGAAGAGGGGGAGAGAGAGAGAAGAGGGGGAGAGAGAGAGAAGGGGGAAGAGAGGGGGGGGGGAAGAGAGAATAATAAAAACAATAAAATTGGGCACCTAATCGATTATGAAAACAATGGTTAGCTGCAGCCCTAAACTCCACAAATATTACTAGTAAAAATGGAATGTTTCACATACAGCAACTTTATATTTACGCTTGCATGGTTAGCATAGGGTCAGATAAATAGTCATTATAAGAGTATTACAGATTACAGACATATACACAGTTTTACTGGTTGTTTTAAAAGGATTAAAGGATTTGCAATCAAACAGAATTAGCTAAACCTCCAAAAAACCCTGATAGCACCAAGAAAAGTGACAATATTTGCTCATCCATAAAACCAAGGGAACAGGAGCAGATGAGACCTTTGGTATGCAGCAAATGTATACAGTTAACAGCAAAACATATTTCAAACACTTTGTTTAGCTATTTTAAAGAAGCATTAGGCAGATGCATAGCATGCTTTCTGATCACAGACAAGACATACTGGAGACAACTACAGAGATAAGATCAGAGCTTTAGAAAAGCTTGGAGCATTGGTAGACTGCACTGTGTCACTGGTAAAGTCCAAGCTTTCAGTAACTGTCCAGAGAAGCTCTTCAGGCTAAGCTCAGTTGTAGGCACACCTTCTTTATCTGCTACACTGTAATCAAAGCTAAACCTTCAGAAACATTGTAATTATATTGTTACCTTGTGTTTATACTAATCGTGCTCCTCTTACTCAATATTTATGTGTTCAGCTATAAAGTACTAAAAATAAAAAGAAGAACTTACCTGAAACAGAGACTCTCATGAGAGCTTCTAGTGGTCGATTGTTGTCCAAGTCCCGACTTAACTTGAGTTCTCCAGTAGAAGGATTGAGTACGAGAAGATTCAGCTCATTCCCCTGTTCAAAGCTGTAGTGTAATGTATCAGAGACATCGGGGTCATAGGCAGGGATTTTCCCAATCACCCCTGATGGAAAACTGTTGGACTTGTTGGTCACATAGTTGTTAAAAATGATTTCAAAATCCTGCAGGACTGGGTCATTGTCGTTCTTGTCCAACAGTTTCACATGGATTGTGGCCCTGCTGACCAAGGGGGCTGAGGTGGCCTGGACCACGATGACATATTCTGTCTTCACTTCATAATCTAAATCGATTAAGGCAGTTAGGTCTCCTGTGAAGAGGTCCAGGTGGAAAACCTCAGGGTTGTTCCCTTCCACAATTTGGTACATTATTCGGGCATTGGTTCCTTCATCTGGATCAGTTGCTGTTATCTTGGCTACAGATTTCCCTACAGGGCTATTTTCCTCCACGAAAATATCCAGCTCGTCTTTTTCAAACACTGGGGGGTTGTCATTGATGTCCAGGACAGTCACCTGGACGTCCACAGGAGCTTTCAATGGTGGGTTCCCCCTGTCCACAGCATAGGCTTTGAGGTTGTACACAGGTACATTTTCTCTGTCCAGTCGTCGGTTGGTCCTGATTATACCAGAGGTAGGTTCAATGTAGAAGTCTCCATCTCCATCATCCCCTCCCTGGAATGTATAGGTGACCCTGCCATTCATGCCAGAGTCCCTGTCTGTAGCAGATATTTGAAGGACACTGGTGGACACTGGTACATCCTCAAAGACAACTCCTTGATACCTGTCCCTCTGGAACTGAGGAGTATTGTCATTGGCATCCAAAATCAGTATCTCAACATAGGTGGTGTCAGACTTCTGTGGAATCCCATTGTCCTTAGCAGTGATAGCCAAGGTGTAGGCTGCCTGGTCCTCATAGTCCAACTCTACCAATGAGGTAATAGTCCCTGTGTCAGGATCTATCCTGAACTGAGGGATGTTATCTTCCATGATATAGGTTATTCTAGCATTTTCTCCAGTGTCTTCATCAGTAGCACTTATGGAAACTATAGAGGTGCCTATGGGCTTGTCTTCACTCACACTCACTGTGTAATGGGAGCTCTGAAACACTGGTCTGTGGGTATTGGCATCAGTGACATTGATGAAGACCAGGACAGTGTCAGAACGTGTGCCATCAGAGGCTGTGACAGTGAGGACATACTGCTTCTCTTGCTTGTAATCCAGAGGAAGAGCCAGAGTGATCAGTCCACCCCCACTCTGACTGGTGATTGAAAATCGGTTTCTGGTGTTCCCACTGGTGATCTGGTATGTCACCACACTGTTCACATCCCTGTCCACAGCTGTCATTGTAAGGACACTGCTCCCTACAGCAGCATCCTCATTGAGCCTCAGCTGGTAGACTTTCTCTGTGAAGGTGGGGTTGTTGTCATTTACATCCAGCAAGGTTATAGTCACACTGGCTGAGGAAGTCATCACTGGATTGCCATTATCTCTGGCCTCAACCCCAAAGCTATAAAACTCCACCATTTCCCTGTCCAGTTCTGAAGACACAGTGATCCAACCAGTGTTATTGTTGATGACAAAGGGAAAATTTGGAGGAACGTCAGTTAGGCTGTACTGTATGCGGGCATTGTCACCAGAGTCTGCATCATTGGCTTGGATGTGGGCTACAGAATATCCTATTGGAACGTTCTCTAGGACAGTGGCCTGGAATGGGGTGCTGACAAAGATGGGAGCGTTGTCATTGACATCTACAACTTGCACAGAGACCATGCCAGTGGTGTTAATGAGTGGAGGGCGTCCACCATCTTGGGCTTTGATCCTCAGGGAGTATTCCCTCACTGCCTCATAGTCCAGGGGGTAAATTACATCAATGTCCCCAGTAAATGAATGGATATAAAACTGCCCTTTGATGTTCCCACTCACAATGCTGTAGTGGACAATGGCATTGTTCCCCTTGTCCTTGTCTGTGGCCTGGACTTGCAGGATCTTGGTGTTGGGGTTGACATTTTCAGGCACCTGCACTACATAACGTTTTTCTGTAAATTGGGGGTAGTTATCATTTTCATCTTCTACAAAGATGTACACAGTGGCTGTGGCACTTTTAGGTCCTGGGTCCTTGCCCTGGTCGTTGGCCTCTATTATAAGCTGGTAGTCGGTAACTGTCTCCCTGTCCACCTGCCCCTTGGTCCTCACCACCCCAGACCTGGGGTCTATTTCAAAGATTGAGTTCACTCCATCAGCAATGACCAGCCTGTACAGCAAGTTGGCATTAGAGGGGGCATCTCCATCTGTAGCTCTGACTGTCATCACCTCGTAGCCTATTTCTAGGTTCTCCCTGATGTTCTCTCTATACTCCGATTGTTCAAACACCGGGATGTGGTCATTGGTGTCACTTACTGTCACCGTCAGGAAGGTAAAGGCCGATCTTCTAGGGGAACCAAAGTCTGTGGCCGTCACCTTAAAAACATGGGTGTCCTTTGTCTCCCTGTCCAGTGCCTGGGTGGTGGTGACTGTGCCAGTCTCGGGATCGATCTCAAAGTAGTCGAAGGACCTGCTGTCAAGCAAAGCCTCCAAGAAATACTCCACCCGTCCCGCATCTCCTTGGTCCTGATCGGTGGCTCGCAGAGAGGTCACCCTTGTCCCTGCCGGCTCGTTCTCGGGCACAGAAGCCTGATAGTTATGGAGCTGGAACTGGGGGCTGTTGTTGATGCTCCTCCTAAGCCTCCTGTGGCCCCTGGGCCCCCTCCAGCCCTGCTGTCCCTTAGGCTCTATCTTGACCCGCACTAGGAAGCTCCTAGGTGATCCAGCATTAGCCGGGCACAGCAGATGCATCGGGGTGCCAGGGACAATGCAGCTGACCATTGAAGATCGCTGCACCTGGCATCCCGACACTCCAAGTACAGATCCTAAGAGCTCCCGAGTGCGGTTATAGATTGCCGGGAGACACCGGGACACCCCGGGATGATCGCTGTACACCAAGTCCACCGGACAGGGACTCTTCCTCCGGTACTTGAAGTAGCAGTCTTGTCCATGTCCATACACCTCCGTCCTGATAGATAAGGAGACCCCCAATGTCCGAGATCTCAGCTGGAGGAACAAGGGATCGGATAGAGAAGACAACCTCTCACACGGTGTCCTAGTCTGCAGCCTGAGCTGTCCGTCCTCACTCAGCTCTACATCCCCCTTCATCGGAGGAGGACCCCTCCAACCGTACGTCCACTCCGCTCCTAGGGACCCGGGATGAAGACGGAGCCCCCCGACCGGCTGCAGCACCCCCACAATACTCAGCCACAAGCACAGCGCCCACATCTCCTGCTCAGCAGCTTTCATCAATCGTCACCGCGGGCTGGGGGGCGGCATGCCGGCCACACACCGCAACTTCTTCTATCCACGTTAACTTTCTAAAAGTGATTTCAAAATGGCTCCAACCCCCTCACCCTGTGCCGCTCCTCTGCTCTCCGCCCCCTCCCCCTCACACTTAATTAACATAAACCTGCTACAGCCACCCTACTGGGAGCTTCCCGCATCGGTCCCATTCACCTCCATCGGGGAGGGACCACATGTCCCAGGGACGCTAAAGCTGAGCTCTGGGCACTGCACTCCAGTCCAGGGACTATCAAACTCTGCACAATGCCCTCCAATCCGGGGACAATCACACTCTGCGGTCTGGACTCCAATCCAGGGACACTGCACTCCGAGCTCTGGCCATTGGACTCCAATCCATGGACCCTGCCCTCCAATCCGGGGACAATCACACTCTGCGGTCTGTACTCCAATCTAGGGACACTGCACTCCGAGCTCTGGCCATTGGACTCCAATCCATGGACCCTGCCCTCCAATCCGGGGACAATCACACTCTGCGGTCTGTACTCCAATCTAGGGACACTGCACTCCGAGCTCTGGCCATTGGACTCCAATCCATGGACCCTGCCCTCCAATCCGGGGACAATCACACTCTGCGGTCTGTACTCCAATCTAGGGACACTGCACTCCGAGCTCTGGCCATTGGACTCCAATCCATGGACACTCACACTCCAATCCATGGACACTGCCCTCCAATCCGGGGACAATCACACTCTGCGGTCTGTACTCCAATCTAGGGACACTGCACTCCGAGCTCTGACCACTGGACTCCAATCCATGGACACTGCCCTCCAATCCGGGGACAATCACACTCTGCGGTCTGTACTCCAATCTAGGGACACTGCACTCCGAGCTCTGACCACTGGACTCCAATCCATGGACACTGCCCTCCAATCTGGGGACAATCACACTCTGCGGTCTGTACTCCAATCCAGGGACACTGCACTCCGAGCTCTGGCCACTGGACTCCAATCCATGGACACTCACACTCCAATCCATGGACACTCACACTCCGAACAGTGGACACTGCACTCCAATCCAGGGACACTCACTCTGAACTCTGGACACTGCATTCCAATCCATGGACACTGCTCTTCAATCCAGGGAAACTGCTCTCCAATCTATGGACACTGCTCTTTAATGTCTGGACACAGCACTCCAATCCAGGGACACTCACACTCCAATCCATGGACCCTGCACTCCAATGCATGGACACTGCACTCCAATGCATGGACACTGCACTCCAATGCATGGGAACTGCACTCCGAACTCTGGACACTGCACTCCAATCCATGGACACTCACACTCTGGACACTGCACTACAATCCATGAACATTCACACTCTGAGCTATGGACACTGCTCTTCACTGCACTCCAATGCCTGCACACTGCACTCCAATCCATGGACACTCGCACTCCGAACACTAGACACTGCACTCCAATCCAGGGATACTCACACTCCAAACAGTGGACACCGCACTTCCATCCAGGGACACTCACTCTGAACTCTGGACACTGCACTCTAATCCAGGGACACTCACGCTCTGAACTCTGGACACTGCTCTTTTCATTCCAGGAAAACTGCTCTCCAGTCTATGGACACTGCTCTTTAATGCCTGGACACTGCACTCCAATGCATGGGCACTGCACTCCGAACTCTGGACACTGCACTCCAATCCATGGACACACACTCTGAACTCTGGACACTGCACTACAATCCATGAACATTCACACTCTGAGCTATGGACACTGCTCTTCACTGCACTCCAATGCCTGCACACTGCACTCCAATGCCTGCACACTGCACTCCAATCCATGGACACTGAACTCCAATCCATTGACACTGCACTTTAATTTAGGGACACTGCACTGCAATCCTTGGACACTGCACTCCAATCAATGTACACTGCCTGGAAAGTTCACTCTAGTGCCTGGACACTGCGCTGCAATCCATGGACACTGCGCTACAATCCATGGGCACTGCGCTCCAATGCCTGGACACTGCACTCCTACTCCTTTACACTGTGCTTCAATTCATCTACACAGCCTGGACACTGCACTTGAATCCTTGTGTACGCATGGCTAAAGGCAAATAGGCTGTTCACTTGGCAAAATAACTTTCCCTTAGCTTAGTGAATAAGATGAAGTGCTGCTAACTTCCAGCACCCAATCATGTGCAAGCAAATATACTGTTTTTTGTTTATTTTCCTTGCATGTGATTGGATATTCTTTGCAAAGTGATTTTTTAAAATCTTATTTACGAAGGTAAGGGAAAACTTCCCCTGCAAAGTGAACAGCCTATTTGCTTTTAGTTAATAAACCCCACAGTCTGTTCCACATTGTGTGCACTCTCTGAACACTGCACTCCAATCTCTGAACACTGCTCCTCGCACCGTGCACACGGTCTGGACACTGCTCTTCAATCCCTGGACACTGCACAACACACTTTATACACTGCCTCTACACCGCACCTCACACTTTGTACCTTGCCTCTACACCACACCTCACATTGTGTACCCCTCCTTTAAGGTGGCCATACACTGTACAACCATCGCAAGACTTTAGTCTTGCGATGTTTGTAAAGTGATTAAAAAAACGTACGATCTGCCCATCTTGGACAGGCAGATCGCACTCTCGATCATCGCAAGCCCGCCCCCCTGAGGGGCGGGCTTCCGATGACCGCAATGCTGAACGGGCAGTGTGCGCGTGCGCACACCGGCCCGTTCGGCATTTGCCTTCTGAGCACTGTTTGAACCAGCCGAAAATCGTACGATTCTCGGCTGGTTTTCTAACATGCTCCTTAGACAAAAGACGTGCGACCGTACAGTAGAAACGGTCGCACGTCTTCGTTCACACTGTTCGATTCTCGTACGATCGCGGGATTTCCCGCGATTCTCGTACAAGAATCAAGCAGTGTATGGGCACCTTTACACTGCACATCACACTTTGTACACTGCACCTCACACTGTGTACCCTGCCTGTACACTGCACAACATATTTTGTACCTTGACTGTACACTGCACTTTAAATGGTATGCCCTTCATCTGGCACTGCATGCTCTGTCTGTACCCCCTGCCTGACACCATGTGCCCGGCTTGTTCCCTTAGCTGACAGCACTTGCTCTTGCTGTACCCCCTGCCTGACAGTAAATCTAAAGCCAAAACATTTTACATTTCGGATAGAATAGGGAATAGTCAAAACCCATCAGTTTTTCTTTCTTTCTTATCATGAGTGTCCCATTCAAGAAAGTTCCCTTCACTCCCCATCCTGTAGGCACAACAGGACCTTTACTTAACCAATCCCATTGGCTCGGAAATGATTCCAGGCAACTAGCATTTTCCTAAAGGAATTCAATATGGCGCCCCCCATATTTCTGTTCTGAAACAAGTAAATACAATGTCATGAAACCATCTCAGAGGGATGACTTTTTCCTAGCACAGTCTGGGAGATTTGTAGACTTCTGAACTCTGGCTTGTGTCCCATGTGGTCACTCCTAGGTCTATTTTTGGTTCTCCCACCCCCACTGCTGTCCTCACCTGTTCCTCAGGCTGAAATATTCCTGTCCAGGGACACACTCCACCAACATGACTCTATTTACTAAACCTTACCCACTCTACAACTGTTTAGGCATATCATTGGTCATGCTTGGAGAGGAGAATAGATGGGGAGAAGGTATGACTTCCTGTATGTCATAAATTCCCTGAAAGCAGGTTGGGTGAGGGCTGGGGGCAGGGAATTTCTGTTCAAATGCCATTCACTAAATTCCTAATGATCTAACAGACCGGCCATGGGTGCCTAGCATACCTTGTCACAGCTCTTCTTTATAGCTGTATTAGCAACATTCTCAGTATTTGGGTTATTGCTCATGAATAAGAGCCCGTTGACACCACGAGCATGCACGCTGGTGTGCCTTGGACCCATGCGCTGTCATGCGTTGTAACATGTGTTTTCATCGTATTTTTATTAAAAGTAACAATTTAACATAATGCTCAACGGTGATTGATGTGTGGCGTAACACAATTTTTTGCGTGTTGCATAGCTGCATGCTGCATATTTAAAGGAGAACTATGAGGCGAGTGAAAATCACCCAGCCTTATAGTTCTAGCCGACCTGCAACAATGAAACTTGCATGTCGGCTCATTAGATCGGGAAATGAGCTGTCACTCACTCAGCTGGGGGGATCTCGACAGTAATGTCGGGATCCGTCCCAGCTGTGGCGTCTCAGTATACTGAGCTTTGGTTGACGGGAGGACGCTAGTTTGTGTCCTCCCGTTACCCTTAGGAGAACTATTGGGAAAAGCCCTGACCCCATAGTTCTCCTTTAAGCAACGCACTTGTATGCAGGGCCGGATTTACTCTCTGCTGCCCCCAAGGCCAGGTTCCTCAATGTGCCCCCCTCCCCGCCAAACCCAAAGGGTTGGTGTTCATTTTTTAAAATTATTTATTACTACTTTTTTATCACTTTTTTAAAATTTGTATTTATCTTATCTTTTTTTTAATCTGATTATTTTAAGATAAAAAATCAGAGGGGAGGGGGGTGGTGTCCGAACTGCAGCCTGCATACAAGTGATCTCGACGACATCGCCGAGATTACTTGTACAAAACGAGCGGCGTCTTCCCCGCACTACATTTAGCAGTGCTTGCCCAAAGCAGGGCTAAATGTAGAAAAAAAATAACTGCCCGGCGGCCGGAACTGCATGTCCCGGGCGTCGGGAGAAAGGAATTCTACACCCCTGCTGCCCCAAGGCCGTGCCTTGGGGGAAATCCGGCCCTGCTTGTATGGTGTAAACAGGGCACATAGAGATAAAATGTTTTTTTCAATGTCCTTGCGGTCATCAAGGCAGCTCAATGCATTTAGCATGAACCAGCTCTAAGTCCCTGTTCACACCTAGGCGTTTTGTTGCGCAAAACTATGCATCACAAACTGCGCAAAGCGAGAAATCCCA